TTTTCTCTTTCAAAGTACCTGTTGGATTTGATTTGATGGAACGCTTACAATAAACCGAAAACTATTTAAACATTCAAATAAATGCTTTATTCACTTTATTTTGCTTCTAATTAAAAAATGTAATCAATATCTACGTGCATGGTTTATACTCTAAAAACAATCTCTTTCATTGCCGTTTCCAATCCATTAAATCGTTTGTAAATTTCGCAATTAATATTGTTGATAAAATTGAAAATCATATACATTTAAAACCATAACTTTTTGACAGCCATGGTGTTTTGTTTTCAGTACGTATAGATATAAATATAGATAATAATGTAGTGGATAAAATATACCACATATAAGAAAAGGAAGTCACTTTTATGCTCGTGAACGGTTAATTTAGAAATTCGAAAAAGATTTTTAAAGGTGTATGTTTGGAACGCGGCGCTGTACGAGTGCGAAACATGGACGGTGGGCGCCGCGAAGAAGAAAAGGTTAGAAGCGTTCGAAATGTGGTGTTATAGGCGAATGATGAGGATATCGTGAATAGAGGAGATTAGAAATGAAGAGATATTAGAAATAATAAGAGAACAGAGGACTTTATGGAAGTCAATATGAATTAGGCGAGATAGATTTGTAGGACACCTTCTCAGGCACGAAGGTGGGAGACACATTAGAGGCAGAAACAGGAGTTAAGAGGAGTAGAGGTAGACCTAGATTAGATTAGGTACTGTTCACAAATAGTTAAGGATATGGGATGTTCTAGTTTTTGGGAAATGCGAAGATTAGCTCAGGGTAGGAAGGAGTGGAGTTGCGTGTCCTACCAGTCTTAAGACTGACGATGTAAATACACAATTCATTAAACTATATTAAGCACTTTAAATTCTAGCAGGACCCTAGTAAGTAATATATTGATGTTTATTACGAGAAATACAAAACTCCATGTCTAGCTGGCAACAATTGCAATCAATAAGCTCCCGTTGACTTGCGTCTCCTACTTCCCGTTGCCACAGAAGCCTAGAAATCTGATATAAATCCAATTACTCCCCGTTTATTGCATATTCCAAACTAGTGTATGTAGATTCATTGAAATACTATTACCTAGGAGATACAGCGGAACACAGAATAGTGGAAGTCTGTAAAATGATCGTGAATTTATTGTGATATTTTATACATACATACGTATATCAATACTCCGTGACTTCACCCGGGGAAAAGGTAGCCTAAATCACTTCCGACAAACCTTATTTTTAAGTATTCAAAGCTTTTTCCGAGAACAAAATATTTACTCTTAAATGCTCCATTGAACCAATATGAAAATAGGAGACAAAGAACTGGAAGAAGTCACTGACTTTCGATATGTAGGGAGTCGGATAGCTAAGGGTAGAAAAGGCGCTAGTTATAGAACAAATAATAGCACAGGGTCGGATTGCATTTGCTAATAGAAAATACTTCTGTGCGTAATTAGAAGGATGTTAGAAATGTGGAAGTATTAGAAAAGAAGTAGGAGAAGTTAATAAGAAGGTAAAGAAGTTAGAAACATACTTATTAAAAGTAGAAATAGAAGTTAAAAGAGGTAGAAGTAGACCTAGATTTGATAACTGTTTGCATGTAGATGAGATTAAACTATTCTTTAGAGTGAAGACCTTTTGATGGTTAATTTCTACAAAAAAATTTTGCAAATGTCCTTAGGGCAACACTAATTTTCTGGATCAGCAAAGGGATACTCACTTAGTACATTCCCTGCCAAAACTTCATGGTTAATTATAATAAAGATTATTCTTACAATTGCTTATAGATGGTCTCAATCTCAAACTTAAAACGACATTTCGGTTGTCAAAACCTTTTATACAGAATTGTCAATTATATTATATACTAGAACCTATAGTAAATTTTAAAAGTTTGACCGCTGTAGTTTAATTGTGTACCTACACCTATCTTTTTCGTTTCTTTGTGTTTTTCTTTAAAATCCTACACGCTCATTGTTAGTACATTAGTATTATAATCAATAACGTTAACAAAACGAACGGCTAGTTAAGCAGTTGAAAGGGCTTTATACAGTATGTATGTACAGTGTTTAGTTATAAACCTAGATACATGTATGTGCTAAAATGAATATTCATTAAATAGTAATGGAATACAGCTTACTGCGCATTGTTTCATGTGTATTTAGGTTCGTGTCATGTGAACAACTGCGGAATTGTTATTAAATTTGTAACTATATAAGCTACATTTGAATTAATTACTTTTACGGAATTAGAAACGAACTTCCTTTGTTTGAAACGAATCCAATCAGCGGGGCTAGCTTAAAAAGTGGAAATTGTTTCCAAAAGAGGTAATATAAAATGAATTGCGTCAGTTTCTTCTTGAAGCAAAGACAACTCAATGTTGGTTTATACAAAACTAGTGACCCGCCCCAGCTTCGCACGGGTGCAATGCTGACACTAAATATATTTTTGTTTTGTTTAGATTATTATCGAAAAGGGGAAATCTTCAAAAGATACCCCCTAAACATACTAAATATACTGCAGAATGTCTTTATATACAACATTCACAGTATTTTTGTCATTAGACAATACAAACCGGCCGGTACCGCCGCAACCGCTATGTCCCTGCATTTTAAATCTGTAATATCTTCGAAAATATTCATTTAAATTAGATGCTGTAAAGGGACATATTGATCTATATTAAATGCAGAATGTATTTAAGGTACTTAATTGGATAAGAATTAATGCTGTATTGCTTACAATCGCTTCGTAAATAAGTCATTATTTCTCATAAAAAGTAAAGGATAAAAATGGTTATTGTGGGTTATCCCTAAGAGATAGACATATACCATCCCGGACTTTTTTGTAGACCCTTTTAAGATGTACAATATTGTAGTACATTATTTTGATCTATCTCGTAGGGTTCAGCCAGCGTTTGCAATGTAAGCGCAAAAAATGTGTTTATTTACGACATCACATTAGAAACCTCTAAAATTATCAGTGTTTCTCTACTATATTATACATGTATTATACATATAAACCTTCCTCTTGAGCCACTCTATCTTTTAAAAAAAACCGCATCAAAATCCGTTGCGTAGTTTTAAAGATTTAAGCATACATAGGGACAGACAGCGGGAAAGCGATTTTGTTTTATACTATGTAGTGATTATTGTAAAAATAATATTAAAATAAAATGAAAATCTTGTAGATGATTTGACTATAAAGGATATATTTAATCCACTGAATTTAAAACGAAATATAACAAAACCAATACTTACCTACATTATTTAAGTCGAATTAGTTTTAACAAAAAAAATTACAGTTCAATCCTACTCATATTTACTACCTAACTATTACATCAGTAGACATATGAAACATCTTGAAGATGAATGAAGAAATAAATCACTTTTATGATCATATATCTACTACATACCTACGCCATTTGACTTAAGGACTTAAGGCTTATCCTTAAATCCACAGAACTCACTTTATTACAGATTGTCTTTCTTCGCCATTGTGTTTCAAATCAAATGAAAAATACAGCTCGCATTCGAACATACCATCCCGTCCTGACCATAAAACACAATAAAACCTCCATAGCACTTTAATTGCATGTATCCCTCAGTGCTTACCACTAAACAGATAAGAAAGGTTAAATACGTTTCGGATTTATCAACGTTTTCATTGCTCCGCAAAGCTAAAAATATCGTTAAAATTTTATGCTGTAATAGATAGCGCGTAAGTAGGTGCTTCCCCGACATATGTGGGTTTTATCAGTGTTTAGACTTTAGACATTTTGTGACATTGTTGTACCTGCTTCTACGTATTTGAAATTCAAATGTTAACCCTTTAGGGGACTAAATATGATAACGTAATTGTATGGTCTCCAATATTATACAATAGGCGCGATTACATTCTGGTCTCCAATACAATGATATAGAGGCACAATTACATTATAAGCTTCTGGTAGGTTAATTATTGAAACTACCAGACGTTAATCGCGATTAGATCTCATCAGCGCGCCATAGACAGTCTCAATAAACCTCCTACCAAATAAAAGCAAGTTGACATGATTGATATGTTGTCAGACAAAGGCCTTACTGAGGTATCCAGATCGATTCGGTCGGTGCCTTAACGAGATTGTCTGTGGCGTGCTGATGATATCGAAATCGCCATCTACGTTTGATGGTCTCTGTAAATTATTGAACAAGAAGTTTTATACTGTTCTTATTAATTTTGTTTACGTACTTATTCGAACAGAATCCCAATCCTTAATGTTTAACCCTTAATTTTTATCGATTTAGTCAGAGTTTTTTGGCTTAGTTTTAAATTTACTCCAAATAGGAAGAATTACTACGTACGCACCGTAGAAAATTTCTGTCAACTCATGTAAAAGATGTACTTTGCAAATATTATTATTAAGCTTAATGAAGATTTACAGTTAATAATTGGTAGTAACGAAGCAAAAAATTTAAAATACAATGTACTTAATTAATTTTCTCGAATCGCATTAAACGTTAAAATTCCTCTCTTTACGTTAAATAAGGGATGAAAACGAAAATTTATACGCAGGTTAATTAAAGGTGTATTAATCATAAATTACGCCAGTTTTCTTATCCTAGGATATAATACAATAGAAAGCGCGGGATGCTTTATGGTCCTTATTATCCTCTGTATCATTAAAATTTATAGCATCGTATTATTTATTCTTAAGCAAACCCATATCACAAAAATAAAAAAATTTATACCAAAGGCAATAAATTATATACCTAGTAGTGCAGTTGTAACCAATTGAATGTAAATGTACTTGTTAGATATTACTGACATTAATGTAAAATTACAACCCTAGTTATAATTTTCACACTTTTTTATTACATTAACAGTTACTGTTTCGCAATTTTGTGACTTCTTCAGGAGTTACAGTAATACATAGCATCTCGACGTTAGCTTTCTGTTATTATCGTTACTATACATTTTAATATGTAGGTACAATTAAAATTGTTTGACAAAGTATTTTGTCTCTTGTTTCAGTTCTGTCCACTTAATCGTCGCTAACATCATATCAGGGGAAAGGTTTTAATTTCGGAGACCTGTAAGAGAAATTGGCGCCATGCTGAAGTTGGCATCATCAGCTGGTTTAGGCTAATAATGATCTTATTGGCTGCAATTGCTATATTACAAAGTGCAGTTACTGCAGGTAAGATATTTTTCTATTTTCCTAAGGGTCATACATCTTAACCTAACCTAATATAGCATTTCCATCCTGCCAACTTATAACGCGAATACTGTAGGTAAATGCCTGCTATTGTGGATTAACTGATTATTGTAGCCCTTTCCAATACGGCGATCAAACTGTATAAATTAAACATTAAAAAGGTTAAAGTTTTATTGAAGTCCCTTCAACTTTAAACACATATTTGCATTTTAATCTAGTTAAGCTTTTGCTAAGGTTAAACAGTAGTTAAAAATTTAATTGTATTATTGTACTCTTGCATTAGTTTGAATGTAGTTAGCAAAAATTTGAATATTAATGCTTTGTATCGCGCTTGGTCGTGACAGCAAATCTACTTTTAAAAATTAATGTGCAACCTTCGTAGTATCAAAAGCATTTACCACAACTTTTTAATATAGGCACTGTATACCTACATAATTACTTTTAAAAGGTCAAACTCTTTTTAATTTTCCCTAGAATTAAATTATGTGTAGGTATATTTCGACATTCAGGAGATGCGGGAGTTACACTGTTAAAAGATTAGTGTTGCACAGAAAATAGTAAATAATAATAAATAGACGAAGAATTAAATGAAGTGGCTAATTTTCGATAATAAAAATATAAAATAGAGGATAGCACAGGGTCGAATCGCGTTTAAGAAAAAAAGAGACTTCTATGCCCGCGAACGGTTAATATAGAAATTCAAACTGGATTGTTAAAAGTGTATGTCTGCAACACGGCGCTGTACGGGTGCGAAACATGGACCGCACTCGCAGCGGAAAAGAAAAGATTAAAAGCCCTCGAAATTTGGTGTTACAGGCGAATGATGAGAATAGTCTGGAAGAACGAGATATGAGGAGGTATTATAAAAAATATAAAAACAGAGGGCTTGTTAGAGATACATTAGAAGCAGAAACAGGAGTTAGCAGAAGTAGAGGTAGACCTAGATTGGATCAGTTTTCCAAATATTTAAGGATGTCGGATATTTTAGTTTTAGGGAAATGCGAAGATTAGCTCAAGATAGGAGAAGGTGGGGGTAAACGTGCAACCATTCTTAGGACTGACGACTTTATGAATATGATTTGACAAAACATTAGCTAACCAAATATACTCTAAATGCTAGAAATCCGTTGAAAATGTTTCGTCACTTTTTGAAACCGTGAAAAATGAAGTACTTTTAAAATGTTCTAAAAAAGTGTTAAATAGTTTTTGGGTTTATTTAGTGTTAAATAGTTAAAAACAAACAAAAAGGAAATTCTTAATACAATCCAGAGCGTTGGTGAAAGCGGTGAATATCCTTGCAGTGTAAAGAGGGTTAGTTTTTTTTTGCGTTAGAGTTTTAAATATTTACTGATTATCTTCACGTGAATTACAAAAATTTCTTGTTGGAGATTTCTTTGTTCTGTTCTGTGGAAATATAATAGAACGGGTGTACTTTTGTTTCAATTATGCATCTTGTTTGCAAGAGTTTGGAAACAAAGGAATTTTTCAAAAAGCTATTTCAGTAAACGACGCTAAAAGGCATCTCATTATTGTGACGCGGCCAGGATGTAATTTACGTTCTTTTTTTTGGACTCTTTTAACTTGGTTCTTTAAAATTACAGTTAATTTGAACGTTACTAACAAGGTACTACGTAAATTCTGTTTTCAAAACTTTAACTTGATAAGGCGAACGTCCATGCTAGCTGCTTTCCCCGAGGGTTTCATTCTTATAGCAATCTACAGTTGCATATTTTTATGATAGTTTACTACAGAAAGGAAAGGGAACAGCATTTATGACATAATGGGTAGGTATATATATTTTATGTATTTCCCAGCCTATTCGGTACGATAACCTACCTATCTACAACAATGAAACAAACAAAAATATATTTTTGTGCAATTTATGAGAAATCCCTAGCTTTTTGGAGTCTCGAAATTGATGATTGAAAACATGATTAATAATGACTATTTGATTATTATTTCTAACAAAATAAAAAAGGCACTAATCTATCTCCCTTAACTATTGGTTAATAGTAAACAAATAATTTTTTATCTAGCTACATTGCTGTAAGTAAATTCTAACATAAAGACTTCGTTATTGAATAAAGTAGTTTTAATTATTAGTCTGCTAGTTTATTGATCGGTTAAAGTCAAGAAATTTTGTTATTTTTTCCAAGTACTTATATTACTAGTACGTTTTCGAAAGTAGGCCATTTCATCCCCAAAGGGAAAACCATCCCTTTTATACCTAAATATAGATGACTGCTGTGACGTCTACCTACTACGTATGATATTGCGAAGCACCTCTTTCATAAATTACATTTAGATTTTTTGATTTTATTCATTCTTAACACTTTTTTTTATACATTTTAATAAAGCTGTAAGTATCACTATCTTAATTTACGTAGTATCAAATTGTAGCATAAATCGTTTGTATAATGATTTTTATAAAACTGACCATTTATAACTTGGAGCCTATTTTTTCAATTATTTTGGGTTCAGTTGGGATGTCATTCCATCGGATTATACAGATTATCTGGCAAGAAGGGTTGAAATTTTAACTACGAAATATTCGCAATTACTTAATGTCCTCGCATTTTTGGTGACAATTCGTATAAAAATGTAACCCTCATATATGTATTTAATCTTTTTAAAACTACCCAAACGTTATTTCTGAACAGTGTGCGTGTGAAAATAAATTTTCAGAATTGCTCCTACTTTATCGTGATGAAAAAATTTTAGAGTAGAAAATATTAAGAAAAACACCTTGCGAGTTATGGGCAAAGTTTGTGTAAACCATCAGTGTATCTTTTTACTGATGTTTTCCCTTATATACAACCCCCATATACGTGCATATAAATACTAACACCTCTACGAAAAATACGGTACCTATTTCACTTTCTTTTTGTTCCAGGATCAATGCCAGCTGGGCCTGGAATTCCAGAAAATATCACCGTCACTTTTCTCACACCGACGTCGGTTAGAGTTTCTTGGGCAACAACCGTTGATAACGTAGACAAGTACGACGTGACTTACAAGCCAACAGGTGCTAGGTGAGTAGCTGTGGAAATTTTATTTATTTACAAAATTCAATGAATAGGCACGTTTAAAATAGACAAGAAGTCTGTATTGGAGTTGAAATCTATTCGTCGCTCCTTTCATGTACATACATATAGGAAAAGCTGCGAAGAAAATGAAATAGTTTGATGTCAGATTTTCCTCTCATTGTAATACGCGAAATATGCAAGCCGCGGTTTTAATTAACCAAAGCCTCTTGTACGTTTGGTGGCTGGAAAATTTTCGTTTTCTATTTTTTAAATTTAAATCTCCCGTGGATAGTAAAATAAGATTTAGAAGTAGAACTAGCTTCTGAATCCATCAAGAGAAAGTGATGTAACAATTTATATGTAAATTATCATTTTCTCGTTCGCCATGCTTTTCACACGTCAGCATACATAACAAATGTTTATATCTCCGGATATAACTTTAAACAACGTCAACAGATAATAGACTCTATCAGTACTCTGAAAAATTAGTAGCTAATCTAAATGGTTATTATGAAGATATTTTGTATAATTTTTCCAAATTTGCAACAAAAAGACGATATTTAAACATAAACATATCCGGGAAAAATTTCACAAATAGTGTAAGGAAAACAAATACAAAACCAGTCTTAGTATTAGTCTTGGTGTTGCTTATTAGATCTTGGTCTTACTCAAATACTTTTAGTCTTTGTCTTACTCTTGATCTTGCTGATACAGTATCGGTCTTCGTCTTGGTCTTGCGTGTTAAATCTTGACTTGCTCATTTAATCTAATACTTTTAAAAATCCTAAGCATAAATTTTTCTATTTGCCGACACAATGCTGAAATGTTCTGTCATGGCATTTAAAGGAAATAGTGACGATAGCAGTGAAAACTAAAGAAATTACCCGTCTTCCAACGCATAAATTGACCTTTTAGCAAAGAAAATAGTACATGGTACTTCAGAAAAGGTAAAAAAGTCGAAAAAAATTAGTTTGTCTCTAAATTTCAACCATGTGTTAAAGAAAGAACACATACTCCGAGAACATTCCTGTAGATTCCTCTTTTTAAACAGTAACAAAGTTTGTTTTTTTTTATATATTTAGTATTAAAGTCTACGGAAGTCGAAAAGAAATAGGCAAGATAGGTTAGTAGGACACCTTCCCAGACATGAAGGTCTAGTCAGAGACACATTAGAGGCAGAAACGGAAGTTAGAAGGGGTAGAGGTAGAACTAGCTTAGATTACTGTTAGTAAAATAGTTAAGAAGGTGAGGTGTTCTAGTCTTAAGGAAATGCGAAGATTAGCTCAGGATAAGAAAGAGTGGAGGTGCGTGTCCAACCAGTCTTAGGACTGACGACCTAAAATCTAATAAATCAAACTAAAGAAAATATTATATTAAAGCTGCTTAAAATAGTCTGACTTATAAATCCATCGGAGGTAATAATGTTTTGTTGTCTAGCGTATTCGGTTTTGGTCTTGTATATTCGGTCTTAGTTTTAGTCTTTGTCTTGTTCGTTCGGTCTTGGTTTGGTCTTGTTAATATGAAAAATTGAGATATCCAAATGATAAGACCAGAAGTGACTGTAATTTGATCCATGTGTCTTTTGAACTAACTTTTTATGACCCGCCTTAATCAGACGACTAATAATATCTAATCAAACAAAGCTCTAAAGCTGTAGAAGGAAGGGTGTTGGAATTTAACGTATAATAAGGACAATTCCGTCTCCTTGGATCAGTTTAAACCGTTTGAGTTAATTTCGACGTAGATTTTGCCAGATTTAGATAATGAAATTCAATACGGGTTTCTTGAGCAAAGTGCGTGAATTCAATTTGCAAGTTTATTCAACAAGCTGTGCTACCAAATCCTTAACACAACAAAATGGTTTAAAAGACGTCCTTGTTCTAAACTTCATTTCATTTCAAACAGTTTCTCTAAAACTGTGCGCTTTCCAATGTAAAATTGATAATGACGTCAATGCATAATACACAGCCGTTTATTTTCATTTTAAAATTAAATGAAGAACAAGTATACTATAACATAAAGCTCCCAATCATTGGGATCAGCTTTCCATTCCATTAGCGTTTTTAAAACGAAAGACAGATCCTTGCATCTGATGCATTTTGAAAAAAAAACACCATCAACATCCGCAACCTCGTCTTCCAAAATTGATTCTACTATAGTTGATGATGATATTTACAAACTTTTCAATTCAATAAAAACCACAATAATATCTTGAAGAATGTCAATATTCCAACATTGTCTGCTTCTTCCTTCTACTGGAATTCTGCTTTCTCTACTTTACCTTCAAACGCAAACAACATTATCGATCTTTGAATAAGTTATTGCTACAATGACCCGAGTTATTAGTTACAGGGTGGTTGCTGTAGTGGCTGGTAACTCGGATGCTCTCACTCTAACAGGATTGAAAGCGGACACCCAGTATCACCTCACAGTTTCTGCTATTTGGGCAGGAAAGCGATACAGAAGCAGGCCAATCGTCTTCCGAACACTTGGTAAGTTTTTATGCCTTTCGTTGTTTTTACAATCTATAAAACAGTTTCCTGAACTTAATCAATTTATTTATTAATTTAGGTACTGATTTATTTTTAAAAAATATTTTTTTTCTATTCTAAATCCTTGCTGAATCAGTAGGCTATCGTATGAGAAAACAATTTGTTGTTGTATTCCAAAAATTATTTAGGACAACCAAACAAACATGCACACAAACATTGAACATTAACAAATTTCTGACAATGCCAATTGATAGTAGCGTTTTGAACGATAACTGAATGCAAAATTTATTTGGTTTGTACGTATTTTAATCCTCACATTAATCAAATAGAAAATGGAACCTCGTGACTGATAAATGAATGGTCACGAACAACATAATACCCACCTTGACTCGTTTAATAATTCATTGATACGAATTACAACAATACATGCCTGCAAAATGCACATAAATATTTAAGCCAATACATTGCTGCAGTAACGTTTTATTATTTAATAGCTGTACCCGTCCAAATTTGACATTTTAACTGGAAGACATCGAAATATTCCCGGTTTTTATATTAATGTGAAAATTCATTTTCGATTTTCTATCCACTAATAATGAAGAAAAATATTTGTTGCTGTTGTCACACCCGTTGAAATGAATTTTCACAATAATATTTCATATTAACCACTATTAGTGTTCTTGGTGTTTATTAAAAAAATGTATTTAAACTGTGCGTAAGGTTATTTAATTCTTCAATCAGACATTTTAAAGGTGTATCATCAGAGGAGATAGCTACACCAACTTCCATACATCCTGATGATTATCTTCCCTCATATTTTGAATTAATATATAAAACTATATTTAGTGGTATACTTGAAACTCTTAATAAGTTCGTCTAATATTTACTGTAGTTCCAAAATCGGCGGAATAACTGAAAGTAAGAAAAACTTTATTGCTCAAGGTAAATTTCCTCGAAAATACGTGTTCGTATATAGGCGAGACATAAAGTTAATGGAAAAGTTGCTTCCTAGGAAATTCAGTGATAAAACTGCATCTAGGGAATGGTGTTCGAAAGTGCCATCAAATAATCCACATACGAAAGTTGAAAAGAGTTGTGGAAAATTGGAAAAATAAAATAAAATCTAAAGAATCACCACGCCAGCGCTTGTACAAAATCTGTTTCATAATATTGCCCTAATTGTACAATTTTGTAAAGTTGTTTTTTGGTAATCAAAAAGAATAGGCATTTATTTGCTACAACATGGTAAATATATTATCGATTGTGGGTTAATTATTTATTGAAAAGGTAAATGTACTGAATTATCAATAAATGTACTGTTTTTTTGCCCTTATTGTACAATGGCAATCAATCGGAAACAATTGTAGAATATTAACGTTTACTTCAAAAGCTACACTTTTATAAATAATTAATTATTTATTGATTGATGATTTAATGTTTGAGAAAACGAGTTGATGATTTTTTTATTTTTTTATTACTAATTTAATCACTTCCAACCATTCAAATCAGAATATACATACATATAAAGAAAAGTGTTTGTTTCGTTGTTAGAGATTGCGTTTGAAAGTACAAGCAAATTTTAAATTTTTTCCATGAGGAAGATTGTAAATGATATATGTTATGGTATATTTTGAGTTATATGGATGGAATAGTGACAAAAATATAAAGATGTATACAGTAGACACAATAGACTTCCCTTGAAACGCTAGGGATACCTCATTATCATAAGGTCATCAGTCCTAAGACCAGGTTGGACACGTACCTCCACTCTTTCCTATCCTGAGCTAAACTTCGCATTTCCCTCTAGAACAACCCACATCCTTAACTATTTGCGAACAGTACTCTGATCTAGGTCTACCTCTACCCCTCCTAACTCCTGTTTCTGCCTCTAATATGTCTCTGACTAGACCTTCATGCCTCAGAAGGTGTCCTACCAACCTATCTCGCCTATTTTTTATTGACTTCCATAGAGTCCTCTGTTCTCCTATTCTTTCCAAT